TTACAATATATAATTAATGTGCCTGAGAATCCAAGAGTTTTTCTGCTGGAGGCTATACTCTATTAAAGTATTGAATACAGTCAGATGCGAAAAGCACGAAGTTCGAGATATAAAGTCTTTTTTTAATTTTCCGTTTTTGGTTACTCGAATGTTGCTAAGTCAGATTGATGCCATTGATGTATTATACTGTATATCGGCTTCCGTCACACGCGGCGATCGAATGTAGCCACACTGATTGTCAGCGAGTCATCTATATTTTTTTATTTGCTGCCTAAATCTGTAATTGGAGCGTGTGGAATGTTCTGCTGCTGAATTCTGCTGAATATAATTTGCGACAAGTGGAAGTTCCAGATTTTCAACCAATTAGCATGTTTAGAATATATCACGTGTTGTAGTAATTGATCTGGTTCACACAAAGACCAAGCGCCAAGTTCAATCCTTCGGGAGCAAACATTCAAATGTGAATGATATTTATTCAAATATTCTACTTATAAAGTTGCAAAGACCTAATAAGATACATGGAATTTGTTGTCAAAGGTATGTTTATTGTGTATTTACTTATTTGTGTGCGGAAATTTACTTGATATACTGTATAGTTATATTTTTAAATCGAAGACGAAGGCCTGTATTTTAGTCGCTTCGCCGCCGATTTGCCGATCTAGACGTTCAGTTTTAATTTTCGATTAATTTGTATTAGCAGAAGTCCATAAGTCTAATCTACAGTCTCTACTTATATGTGTTGTTAGCCCCGTTTACACGAGCAAATTTTATTTGACAAATTTCATTTCATCAAAAGCATTTGTTGTTCAAATAAATTTGTCACAAATTTATCATCTACACGAGCAAAATATCTCTGACATATGAAATTTGTAAAATAAAATTTGTTCGTGTAAACGGGGCTTTATTTGTGTGATATACATTACTTAATTATATATAATTAATTAATATACTTTACTTTAATTATTATATATGTGATCTGTTTGAAATGCAGTCACATTTGACAGCATTGCAATAGCCCATCTAATATTACCCAGTGTATGGCTTGTGCTTGCTATGGTAGCCCTCCTATCGGCTATCAGTCAGCCTAAAACATGTGTAAGGGGCTGCTTATATAGAGGCGAGCCGCCCAGGTAACCTGGCTATAGCTCGCTTTCCCTGGATGAATGTCTGGTTACATGAGCCTCTTTAGATGGGCAGGCTTGCCAAAACAAATCACCCAGACTGAGTTATATAGTACAAGGACATTTCCCAATAAAGTGAACCAACAAGTGATCAATCACTCATACTTTTGCAGACAGTCTTGAAATGTATAAACTGACAAAAACAATCACAGAGATCTTTTTACCCAGCTGGGCCCAGGGGTAATACAGTGCCAAATCGTGGGTGATTGTATATAATTTATATGGAAAATCCTAGCTTGGCATTAGCAAGATTTTGGGACAATGAATTTTGGGTTAATTATGCACTTCCATTTTAAACACCCTTTACCAGAAAAGTTGTATTCATTTGGATGATGTTAGTTCAATTGCATGCTTACATTAAATGAGTAAAAGCATTTGAATTTTGTATTTCTTGCTTTGTATGTATGCAAACAACCAAAAATAGCAAATTCATTGTCAATCAATCAATAATTTTTATTTTGTGTGTGTTGGTGCTATGTACTCAGGTGAATATATGATGTTTGTGATGTTACTGTGAGTGTGCATCCACACCGGGCAAGCTGAAAAGTTAGCTTGGCCACAGTGGGAATCGAACCTGTGACCGTGGCCAAGCTACCTTTTCAGCTTGCCCAGTGTGGATGCACACTCAGTGAGAGTCAGTGGCGTAGCCAGCCTAACAATTTAGTCCCGCTATTCAAATTCAAAATTATTATCATTATTCATTTCTCTAGAAATTTATTGTTTTCACAGTCAATGAATATGAAAATATTTGCATAGCGGGACCAAATAGTCGGGCTGGCTACGCTACTGGTGAGAGTAACATCACAAACATATATTCACCTGAGTACATGACACCAACACACACAAATTAATCGTATCATTGAATACCCCTGTACACTGATATCGAAGGAACTAGACTCAGTTCCAAAATATCATCAACTCGAACAGACTTGACCATGTAGCTTAGTTGGCAGAGCATTGGACTAGTATCCCAAAGGCCGCAGGTTCGATTCCCACCATGCCCAAACTAACTTTTCAGCTTGCCCGGTGTGGATGCACACTCAGAGTAACATCACAACCATCAATCAATAAGTCGCTGCTGTTATATATCAACCTTATATATTTTTTCTTACTAGGGATTCTCATTAATATATGGATTTAACAAAAGCTTCCCAGGAGAAGGCAAGTTGTCAAAACAAGTGGTATTATATGTAATCATTAATGGCATTCTAAGAACTTCATGGTCTATTTGCAAAATGTTATTCTTTTGCTGGAGAGCATTTTTGTGAATTACCAAACCATGCAAGGGATGGAGTTGCCGACTTGTGGTATACAGCTTGTTTTCTACTAAATTTTTACTAATGGACTTGCTTGACATGTTTGATTGAGAAGTGACACTACATACATTTAATACATGCAGTATATTTTACTTGTAAAGATTCTACATTGAACAGAATATTAACCCTTTAAGTGGCAATTTGCTTTACTTTTTTATTTTTCTGTCAAATGTGGTCAGTAAGCTTTTCTGTAAATGTACGTTTTTTGAACGATAACTATGTAATAGCCGGTACTGTGCTGGGAATGGAACCTGCTGCCCTACAGGTGATTCTGATCAGCTTTTTAACCGTCAAAGGTTCAGAAGCCCTAAGAGTCCATCGCCCTGACAGTCAATCAAGCTCTACTGTAACCAAGAGTTCATGTATATAATACTAGTGTCCTCCTGGGCAGTTTATTTAATACACTACCAATTACACCACCATGGTATACATATGCAACTTGTGGTTACCTCTTGGCAAAAGGGCTCTTTAGGTCAGAGGGCTGCGGTAGAATTGCAGGACTGCAGGTTCAATTCATGCTGACAGGCTTGTAATTGTATTGCACATGTATTCATGATATCATTCTAATCATGTATTCATGATATCATCATAATCCATTTAGAACTTCATTAAATTATTATAGGGCGTAAGAGTATTTAATTCATTATATTATGCTACAGCAAATTGTATTTCCTGCTATAATATACCTTACTTGTAGGGATAATAAATTATTTTGACTCGAAAAATGTCTTTATTGATTTCTAAAGTTAGTTAAAGACGTTTCTTTACTCCGATATATAGAAGTCATTTTGTCTCCAAAGGAGTCGACTTCACTCCAAAAGTGGAGTAAATAAAAAAGGTACAGAACGACTCCTTTTTTGGAGTAAAATTTACTCGTTTATTTACTCCATTTTTGGTGTAAATTTTACTCCTTAAGTAGAGTTGTTTTTGCTCTTTGAGGAGTAAAAACAACTCTACTTATGGAGTAAAATGTACTCCAAAAATGGAGTAAATAAAGGAGTAAAATTTACTCCAAAAAAGGAGTCGTTCTGTACCTTTTTTATTTACTCCACTTTTGGAGTCAATTTGACTCCTCGAAATTAACAGTGTATAGCAAGTGCCAAAATGATCCATGTTTTCTTGCATCTCATTGGACGAGAACCTATCACGTAAACGTTACGAAATTCGATTTCTCCTGGCAGCAGCTCTGAGCAGTCGACACCAGTGCAGTAAATAATAAAATCGGTAAATAGTAAAATCGATAAATATAAGAACGTCGAGTTATAAAACGAAAATGACGGAAGTCTTATTTGGGTTTTTTTCTTACTTTCAATTCATATATATATATTTATGATAAACAATTTTATATACAGTCCAGCTAGGTCTGCAAAACAAGCTGTTTCCCGAAAGTTACAGTCAATATATGTGTTAAATTTTTTTAATCCGGGCGTTGCTGCATGTATGCACATACTTCTAGTTTAAGAACAATATGAAACTCGTTTTACTGAGGTATTTTATTCGAATAAAAAGTATATTCCAAAAAATATATTTAAAAAATATAATTATACCCATTTAAATGGCTTATACAATATTCAGGTAATAATTGCATGCCAGCAAATTTGAAGGATTATAGTGAATAAAATAATAAATATCGGCAAGCACAGTTTCAGTTTGAAAAATTGTAAATATGCCCAAATGTTGAAATTGTAAAAAAATGTCTGGCTTGGACTGAAAGGAGGATGTGAATTAAGGAAGGATTTATGAAGAAAGCCTGGTATACGAACAATATCGAAAGTTCCGTTTCATCGGTGAGCATGCATGCAGCTTGCGCACTTCCTATTGTTGTTTTGGTTTTGATCCTCGACCAAACAAATTTTATACTATTATAGATTTATAGTATGAATAACAAGAAGCAAAGTCCTATAGTTTCTACAGGCCTAATGTTCTTGACTTGCTTAACTAAACAAATTTAAGGATGATTTTGACAAGTGCTCCTGGCCGATATAGCGACTCTGAGAAGTGCATGAGAATTTATTTAGAACAAAGAATGGTCAAGTATTAAGAAGTGCGAACGTGCATGAAGAAGAGGAATTGATGCTTCGGGTGTAACAATTTTACTGCATGCACGTATTTTCTTGATTTTTCAAGTTATATCGATTGGTTTTGAAAAATACTCTTTCAATGTTGAGTTCTCAGTGGTGAAATTAATTTCGAAAACGTCAAAGTACGCTAATTTACGGGTTAAGAAAGGCATTAAAATTAATACCCAAGACAGGAAATAAAATTTACACGCGTAAAAATGAGCAGCTGTTCCCGGTTTATATCAACAGGTTTGAACAAGGTTGCCTACCCTGAAAACAAGTATCGTCCAGTTGTAAGAATGCTGCATGTATAACAACATTGTTGACAACTTGTTCTTAGGATACAGTACAAACTTGCTCAAGTCTGTTTATAGCAACCGAGAACATGTTTTGTAATTCGTTTTTAATCGTTTTTACAGTTGAAAAGTGAAAGTTTTTCTTTACGTGTAAAGGATATATAAGTACTATACATGTATAAGAGCCTGGCATAACCCAACTCTAACCTCATGCAGTCCTAACATATCTAGCTGACTATTCTGAACACTGATTATCTCAAACTGTTAACTCATGTTCCTTGACACGAAATGGTAATGGTAACCCTGATTCGAACCCCGTTTACCACTCTCGTATATATAGAGCTATATTGTACCCCCAATTCCTCCTCCCTATCGCAACCATATATAGCAAACTGTTCTGACTTTGAGATTTTAAGGCCAGTTTACAGTTAAGCGTTCTTTATACATGCGTATACTATATACACACATGCACGGAAATGTTTGAATCCATTTAAAAGTTCGTATATGAATTAATTAAATGAATAAAAGCAAATCATTTGGTTTTGTTTATGATTTAAAGTGTATCTCTCGAGGTATGTTAGCACTTATATAAAATTTAGAATGATTTGAACTTTTCCGTGCGCATATAGCTATATATGTACATAAACGTATGAAAAACGCTTAATTGGAAATCAGCCTTTATATTCTTTAGCCAGAATTTTGCACTGCGTGCATGATGTAAGAAGACGTTGTACGGGAAGAATAAATATTTATTTAATTATTAAAAATTTAAGCTGTCCTTGCCGTCTATCTATCGATATGCATGACATAATTTCACTGACTTGCATGTCTTCAGAAAAATTTTACAAGCCGTTGGGAGAGTCCTCAAACGGAAAGCGTAAAATTGATAACATATAGTATTGTAGGTAATATACATGTATGTTTTAAAAGTCAACATGATGCAGTTACGGTGGCCAGAGGCCAGTGCGTAACTTCAACTTGTATAATGTGAAAAATTTAACCAATACGGTCCAATATACCCATTATTATGGCTGCCTTTAGTACTGACCTACACAGTATGTGGCATCAACAGAAATTATTCGCTCAAAAGTCCATCAAATTTGATAATATAGCAAAAAAATATTATAATATTATCAACAAACACGATTATACTATCAGCTATAATTAGTAAGACCCAACAATATCGCAATACCATATATCTGTAACAAAGGTGAACAATAACGTTTTATTTGCTGTAAATGTTACCCATGTAGCCGTAGTATTTAACGACTCACCTCAAAAGCTTTTCGAAGTAACGTCATACAATTACCAAAGCAAGTCTCGCTTATTTCACTTCCTCGTGTTGTTATCGATGATGATGATGAAAATATTAAGAATACTATGAGAGCAACTATTCTCCTGCCCATGTTAATAATATGTATTATTATTATGATTCAATCAGTAGCTCAGCAAGAGAATAAAATTGTGTTCGTGTAACCAGTTGTTGAATTGAAAATACCGTGTCTCCCATCAAAGACTGACTTATGATTATTACGAGTTTAAATTCAAGAGTATTCTATAAGCACTCATTATACTTAAATTTGCATTTCCCATTACCGTTCATGCATGTCATATTAGTCATAATATCACAAGAAGTCGAAATCGAAATGAATAATGTCCGTACGGCTGATTTATTAGTGTTTCGATTAAGTACAATTTGATCAGTATCTGTGCTTGTAAAAATCGTCTTTCGAATAAATAATATTACTATGAAAGTATTCACGACGATTATTGTCAGTGTAATACTTTCAGTTGACACCAGAAATTATTTGATAAGGGTTTTGCCATGTTCGGATTATCAAGGTCGATGAAGGTGAGTGTTGATTATCAAGCGAAGCCGAATGCTGGGGTTGAACTTCACTTACCGACGAGACCGTAATATTACTGATTTCGGATAACACAAAAATCGAATCCAATAATTTAAAACAAAAAGTGTAAAAATGGAAATATATAAAATGTTTATTACTATTTGAATAGTTTAAGATTAATGTTCTTTTATTCACTTCACATATACGATCGATGAACAAGACATATTATATTTAAATAATTTAAATTATTGACTGGATTATTTAGTATAAGATCTGTATTTACAAAGCTATCAATCAATGTGAGTAGCGATTTTCTTTCGAAAGGAAAAAAAGGGATTAGCTCGCTCTAATTTCTTTTGGAATAGAATTCCAAAAGTATGCTATACTGTAGTACGTTATACATAAAACCTTTTTCATATTATTAGTACGCAGTAAACAAAGACTACTTGAAAGGTTCCTATAAGTGTGTATGTCGCATAAAACAACGTCTTTGTTAGCCTGACTTTCAGACGGCTACTTGGTGACCTTGGACTTGGTGATCGAGACATCGACATGATGAACAAATGGAGTATAGAACCAAAGAATGGAGTATGGAAACAAAGCCAACATAAAGTATTTATTTAGCCTAGTAATTCAAAGGGTTCTTATAATTTTTAATTATTCGTCTATTCTCATACTTATAAAGTTAAGACCCATACAGACCGGACGCGATTTGGCAACGCGACGCGAATTTTCAGTTTTCAATAACATTTAACTTTGATATTTGTCAATGTTTTTCAAATATTCCGAACCACTATAAGCAATTTTAGCTATTTGGACCGCATATCATGTAAAATTTTTATCCATTGACGGTTTTATTTGTTTTTGAAAACTGAAAATTCGCGTCGCGTTGCCGAATCGCGTCCGGTCTGTCTGGGTCGTTACTGTAAAGATCCATACAGACCGAACGCGATTTGACAACGCGACGCGAATCTAGTTTCAGTTTTTAAAAACAAATATATAAAACCGTCAACGGATAAAAATGTTACAAGATATGCAGACCAAACAGCTAAAATTGCTTAAGTGGTTCCGAATATTTGAAAAAGATAGAAAAATATATTGATGTTAAATGTCATTGAAAATCGAAATTCGCGTCGCGTTGCCAAATCGCGTCCGGTCTGTAAGGACCTTAAAACAGCAAACCACACTATATGTAGTTTGGAGAAATTATTATCCTTTAATATAATTGACGATAATTACAATGCTGTATTTTAGTTACGGTACGTAATATGTTGAATTAGACAAAATCTCGAACGGTCTGTGCCAGTGCCAGTACATGTAATGATAATAAAGGCCTACTCTGGGACCTTAACTCGCCCTAACTCGCCTAACTCGCCTTAACTCGCAAGGGTCAGTAGCCAGATTTTTTCTTAACTCGCCTTATCTCGTCTTAACTCGCATAGGCTCGCCTGATCTCGTGGCGAGTTAAGGTCCCAGACCTTAACTCGCCCTAACTCGCCTTAACTCGCAAGGGTCAGTAGCCAGATTTTTCCTTAACTCGCCTTATCTCGCCTTAACTCGCATAGGCTCGCCTTATCTCGCGGCGAGTTAAGGTCCCAGGGTAGGCCTTAATAAGAAAGCTGTGGATTGATATACAAGAATTAAGGCCTTTCGCCAGGAAGTTAGTACTTAAGGCTGCATCCCAGTTACGCGTTTTTCATACGTGCGTACACGCACGTAAAAGTTGAATTCGCTTAAAATTTCATATAAGTGCAAATAACCTTAACAAATACACATTAAATCATACAAAAAACTGAATGCTGTCCTTTTATAAATTTAGTTATTTCATAAGTAGGATGTAAAGCGAATTCAACTTTTACGTACGTGTACGCACGTATGAAAAACGCGTAGCTGGAATGCAGCCTTTAGTATAGGATGGGTCGTACGCGGAAATTATATGAGATTGATTTATTCAAAATAACATGCCATAAAATAATGTAAATCACAGAATATACTAGAAATTACATGCATGCTGAAAACTTGCCTTGCTGACAAAACCGGAACATGAAGTATTTAAAGGAGTTAATTGTCATGGTAACACGATAATTTTATTAAGAATATGTTTAAAATTAAAAAATCCCCTAAAAACATCACTTTTAATTACAAAATTATCAATTTCCCAAACATATATATGTTAGGTATATGTTATTATACGTCATCGCGCCGTTCTGGGCGTAAGCCCGGGACGAGGGTACTAATTCCGCCCGGCTGTTTACACCCGGGGAAACGAAAGCATTAGCGAAGTCTAAAGTTCATCAATGATCGCGGGCGTGGGTGACCAACGGTGTTGGGGTGTTTGGTGGGTGGTCATCCTCACTGATCTCAAAAATATGGCGGACTGTCATGAATAGCGAACACTGATTGGTCAAATTTAAAATTTGCATTATAACGACTGCATGATAATAGACATGAATATAAATATGCTTATTAAGCATTATAGTAGCACACGTAACTGTATTGGTATGTAAAGTGTTAAATATAGCACATCCCCCCCCGGAATGAATGGATAGTATCTAATACTACCAGAACTTTGTCCACATATGCTTTGATACTGGAATATATGTTATTGGGCTGAATAAACCTAGAACTAAAACGTTTAATTAACAAATTCCAAACACCATTGCATGATTACCACCAAGACAGTAAAGAACTAGAACTGTTCACATATCACTTTAGCTTAATCTTCTTCTACTTGTCGGGCCGGTCTTTCCTTTCTACCTAATCCTTTTAATATATGAAACATTGTTGTAAATAAAGCTAAATAATCCATTTTCAGTTTTTACTAATTTCTTTATCATGTTTCGATTCGCTTGGTTAATCCTTGTTTCCGCCCACATGATTTACAGTCTCAACCTGTGTCTTGTCTTGAATTATATATTGAATTCTCAAGATGTCTTGTCTTTTCCGAATTTGTTTTTTACTTAATTTATTTTTTTAAATTGTCGGCTAGCTGATCATGGTTTTTGTTTTTTTTGTCAGCAAGGCGAGGGGTTTCTGCATGCTTTTTTTTTCTAGTTATACGTATTATAAGTTTCGATTTAATGTAAAATTTAACCACAAACTATAACGTTTTAAAATGTTGTTAAAACTGCCTTTTATCCACAAAATGTGAGTCTAACATGCAATGAAATGATTGCAATGTAATAAAAAGAGAAATCAATAAATATACACTGAAATTATTTTTTATTATACACAACGATCAGTTTTTAAAGTAACTAGCCGAAAATACATGCATGCAGAAACCACTCGCCTTGCTGACAAAACCAATAAACCATTGCTATATTTTCCGAACATGAAGTATTTAAAGTAGTTCTCATGATAACACGATAATTTGTTAAGAATATTGTTACAAATAAAAAATCCTCTAAAAATATCACTTTTAATTACAAAATTATCAATTCTAAATAAATAAAATATAATCTATAATTCTAAATCAATTCAATATAACACTAAATTGCCGTTAAGACATTGTCGAAAACTACTTTGAGTCTGAAATAAAATGATTTCAAATTCTCGCATTCAAATAACTTTGCTTTCTTTTTTACTTAAACATTTTAATATAATAAAGAAGGATAATCAATTAAGAAACACTAAATTATATGTTGTCTTTTTCATTTAAAATATACGCAACGATCAGCTTTTAAAGCAATTATAAAGCGAACAATACATCAATATTTAAAACAAACTTACCTTCGTTAACGTCGGTGCCTTTACTCCCTTCTTTTAGCAATACATTCCCTATTATTTTCTCAAAAAGCTTTTAAAATTACAAAATCTTGCAAATATTAAATAGACTTGCAGGAAATCATCAAAGTAAGAAATGTTTGCTGTTTCGCTGTCGTCATGCAGTCGTTATAATGCAAATTTTAAATTTGACCAATCAGTCTTCGCTATTCATGACAGTCCGCCATATTTTTGAGATCAGTGAGGATGACCACTCACCGAAACACACACAGTGACCCACGCCCGCGATCAATAGACAGAAGACAGATTTAGAAAAGAAGACGCGAGCTCAAAAACGACGTGAAAATAACGTGTAAACCTCGCGTTCACTTCCGGGTTTTAATCTTGGACGGCTTGTTTGTCTTTTTCGAAGCAAATATTTGTTTTCATGTCACCTGCTCATTCCTGTAATGTTTTCAATCAGTTGTCAAGATATGGGCAAGAAAAGACTTTATAATATAGCATTTGTAAATTCTCAACGCTGATTGGCTAAGAGCGGTGTTGATATAACTCAATAGAGACCTTAAGATTGACGTTTACGGCAAACGTCAAACCGCTAGCGAAGTTTTTGATTTTACAACTCTATTATTATAGCTTTTACACCAGTTTTGAAATATGTTAAACTTATTAAACTTGTGCTCTTTAGCAATGATTTAAGAAAGCAAATTAACCACTAGTCATGCCATTCACCAAAGCAGTAAATTAAGATTTGGCGTTTGGCGTATAAATTTCATGCTTGAACTGCTACGAGGGATTGTAGTCGTTAAAGGAAAAAGCTAAAATCAAAGCGCGCAAAAGATCTGCCATCAATCGCGTCTAACCCAATATTTCAATCGGTGCAGTCGAACACGCGAATCCATATTAATGAGTCTTTGACACCATACGTCTGTTCGGTCGCTTCCTCGAGTTCAAACAAGAATCCAAATTTAAGTATTTATGGACGATGAATGGAAAGATTATGCTACGCGAAACTGATGACTCACCTACGTTAAGTTTCGTGAGTCACGAGCAATTCGACGACTTTCTTGACGGAAGAAATTAAACTAACATTAATTAATATAACTCAAAATTGAACACTTTAATGTTTACTATATTATCCATTGATGGCTATCGAAACAAACACAGTAAGTAATCTTCCGTTTTACTCGTTGTCGGATAAAGAATTTAGACGGCATTGTTTGGAAGCTGGTCTGGAAGGAAAAATAACGATTTTGATTTATACGATTTGTTTTTAAACCCCGATAAATCGGACGAACTGATCCTGATCGTATGCTATATATAATCCCTGCTCTGAATATTTCTCAATTGACAAACTTAAAAAAACATTAGAAACAATGCCAAATTCTCTTTCAATCCTACACTGTAATATAAGAAGTTTACTAATAAATTTAAACATTTTATAAGATATCTCATACTCCCTAGAGCATACACCAAACGTCCTAGGAAGTACTGAAACAAAATTACATGGAGAATGAGTGGATATCAAGAATTATAATTTCTTTCATACTGACTCAAAAACAAAAGCAGGTGGTACCGCACTATATATTGCCAATAACTCGAAATCTATACCTAGACCTGACATAACATTTTCAATAGAAAAAGTTGGATCATGTTGGGTCCAGATTGATGCTGGCAAAAAAAAAGGAATACTCATAGGCTGCATTTATAAACACTCAGATTGTAATCTTAACTCGTTCAATATAGAATTAAACAAAATTATTAAAAGTATTAATCCTGGTAAATTTGATCCATTTGTGGTGACATGAACATAAATTTCTTGAAATGTAATGAACAAGAGGAAACAGAAAAGTATTTAGATATGTTTTTTGACAACAGTCTTATTCCTATCATAACAAAACCAACTAGAATAACTGATCATTCTTCGACATTAATCGATCATATCTATACTAACTTGCCCATATCAAAACTAACACCGGGAATCCTCGAGGTAGATATATCTGATCACCTTCCAGTATTTTGCATTGTTAAAACTCAAGTAGATAAAACTACAAACAAAAGAAAATTCA